TTCAAGATTCTTAAGTTGTAACTGAATATACCTCCTTTCACGCGTCTTTTAGGAAGTTCCCTACTGGTGCTGTCGAGCTTCTGCTCTCCTTGTGCTGATACAGGTATTTGCGGAGCTGAAATGAAAGAAACCGATTCTTTGTATTTGGTTTTAAGCATTATTAACCCCCATTTCCAGAAGAGTAATTTTTTTTTTTTTTTTAAAAAGTCATTTCAGTGTTTTGGTGTGTGGTTATTGACCCTCAAGGAAGTGCCAGTGGGAATGGGAAGAGAAGAGGGAGAGCCTGGAGTTTCCTAAAGCGCTCTTTGTTGTCAGAAAGAAAGTAACCCTCTGTATTCTGGTAGTGAACAGAAGCTCGAGAACATGCTGTTAGTATAACAATATAACTGATGTTAGCAATATTGGGAGGAAAGGTATTTTTTTTCCCATGATTCTCATAAAAATGTGAGTTATAGCTGGAAATTCAGTAGAGTTCTTTCCCATAAGGTAAGTTTAGTCTTAATGTAGTGCAAGAGTGCTGCAACTATGAAGGGCATTTCTCTAAGCCCTCCTATCCCTTCAGGGAAAAAAGGAAATAATTTCATTATTTCAAGGTTGAAGGAGAGGCTTTTTTCCCTGCTCCAGACGTTCAGAGAAGAAGAAAGCTAATTTCCAGAGGCAGAGAATGGGAACCATGACAAGAGGCCAACACTCAGATGTGTTTGTGCTTCGTCTTCAAATTGCTTTCATCTATCCTTTTGACGGCTGTGTCAACTGGTGGTATAATTGTTTTGAAAACAGGCATATAGAGCAAATAGGAAGTTGCAGTTATGATGGATGAGTAAATGGAGTGGAAAAAATTGATATGCTGAAATGCAAGTGGGATTTAAAATTGTTCTAGGTCTATTTGAAAGATTACTTAGAGAAGATACAAAAAATTAGCCCAGAGGCAGTAAAAAGGAGGGGGGAGAGAGGGAGACTGACTGGCCAAGAAAACTGTTGCAGAAGGGAAGACTTTGTAGAGATAAAGTCAGGGTCAGGTTTGGCAAAATTTACAATGAGTTAACTAATGGTATTAAAACCCCCCAAAGTTAAAATATTCTTTAGCTGTGTAAAGAAAAAGAGAATTAGCAAAAAAGTGGATTTGTCATACAGCTGGAGTATAGGTTAAGAATAATTTAGAGCAGGATCTCCAGGCTAAATTAATAAGGAAAAAAGCCATGGACCAGCAGGGTAAAAGCAAAATATGTTTTAGGAACCAGAACACAGAATTGGAAATTTGTACAAAATCTCAGACCTCTAATGCAGTCAAACTGTGGTTATCAGATAATCTCTGGGTTGAGTTCAGACACGATGGATTTAAAAAATCCCAGGTTCTGAAGGCAGCTATTTTTAATGAAAATACTTTGAATTGAAGATGGTACCCTTTGATCAGAGGGAAGCAAATTTAATGCCTATAATTAAGTCAGCAGAGGGAAGCTGATAATGGCATCAGCCAGGCCTGACCCAGAAGTGGTCCAGGATTCAGAAAGATTTTAAGGGGAAAAAGATAAATAGAAAGCAAGATACAAGCAGTATAATTTGCTATCTTACTAAAAATAGGATGTGCCCAACCAACTTGATGCTTTAAGAAAATCTACTTTCCCTTCATTAAGATGACCTGGTGTCTGATGGTAAAGTGTCTGATAAAGTGCTAATAGGAAGTCTAGAGGAGATTAGCAGAGAAAATATTAACTGAATAAGCCGAAGCAGTGCTTCTGTGTTGAAAGAAGTGTTGGGCTGAAGAGAGGTTAATAGTGGAATTACTTTTTGCATTTCCCAAAATAAGAACAGTACTAAACAAGATGAGTTTTAAAATCAATCTCAGAGTAAGATGAATTGGTAAAATTTACTGATGATGGAATGCGAGAGGGAGGAGCATGATACATTACAGCAAGTGCTGAATGACTGGGGTCGGGAGTTGTGGGGAGGAGAAAGAAATTCAGCAGTAGAATATGTATTTAGAGACCAAAACAAAGAGTAAGCTCAAAACTAATCAATGAAAACAGTGGAAGAAAAGATATTTGCAGCTGAGTTACAAAGTAACTAACAGCAGTGAATGCCCTTCTAGTCATCTGCACTGGAAAAGGATGGATACAAACTGGAGCAAATGGAAAGGAAATTTATGGGTTAGGCAACTTCAGAACTATCTTGTGAGAAGGAACTAAAGGCTTGGAGTCGTTTGTCCGGGGCTACAGAAGTTAGAGGGAGATAGGATTATTGATGGTTAACTCAAACACACATGCAGGGAAGCAGAGCTTTTAAGGGAAAGGACTGTTTTGAAGCAAGAACAGATGGATGGAAGTTGGTAATCAGCAAACCGGGAAATTTGATGGTTCTTATTCATAATAAGAGCAGTAGGATTCTAATCAAGCCATTCAGTTGGAATAGGGAGATGCTTTATTACCTTTAGGCTGGAGCTTGATAACTTTGTAAAGAGTGTATGGTGTGCCTCTGATAACCCCAGAACAATTGCATGTTGATGGCATTGGAGATATCTTCAAGATTTATATTTGTATAATCAGGGATTATTTTGTGTCTGCAGCAGATTAAGCATTGTACCAAAAAAAAAAATTTTTTTTTTAAAAATTCACATTCCTTGTTATGCGAGCGAGACCTTCTTTTTTGTAAAAAAATTGTTTAATTTTGTTGATATGGTAATGAAAAACTGAATTAAAAACTATGCCAGTAGTACATGGTAAGAAAAGGCAGAAGAGAAATAGCAGCAGTGCAGGATCGCAGAAGATGCTGTTAGAATTTGAGGGAGAGTAGAACAAGAAGTCTCACTTCTGATGCAAATCTTGGGAACTAAGAGCTTGATGCAAGTATGGGCATAATGGTGTCATTCTAAATTCATGAAAATAGCTTTACAAATGAAGGAGAGGCAAAGTGGGGTCAGTGCAATTCAAACACATGATGACAATTTTAGCCTAAATAGAATGCTCTTTGTGACTAGATGAATTAATTACTGTAAGACAGTGTTCTTGCTTGTCATTCTGATTCTTTCTGCTTGTTAATCACTCCTAAATTGTAGCTATTGCAGTAATATTAAGATTTATTACTTATATAAACTTTTGCTAATCTCTTTTCTAGTTTAGTGTTTGTTCATATATTAATGTAAATGTTTTGAAATGTTTCTTACTTTACATTTCTACTCTTTGTCCTCTGTAGTACATTCTTTCTGCCTATTAAGTATTATTGTTCTACTGAAACACTGTATGACTGTTTTAAGCGTTTTGCTTTCATAGTCAAGCTTAATTTACCTATTCAGCAAATTTCACGACATACCAAGTCTGAGCTGAGAAGATTATTATACAAAAAATAAGTTCCAATGGTGATAAGAAGCAACGTCTGTAGAATGGTTTAGCGTATTCTTTGTGCCTCGCTGATCTTATAGTGATTTCAGTATTTCCCTTCTTGTTGCTTATGACGGTGCTGATGTGCTTTAGGAAACTTTGGATCTACTGGAGGTACTAACAGAACCCAGTTTGCTCTGTGAATGGGATGAAATTTCCCGTCCTGTTAATCACATGGAAAACTTTAAACACGAAAACTGGGAAAATTCTTATCCGATACGACGAGCTGTAGTAAAAGTGAAACGGAGCAACTACTAATAGGGAAATGTATGCATATTTATTTGCACAAGGAAGCACTTATTTTTAGTCGCACAAATCACTGCGGTCTTACTAAGTATATTTTTTCCTATTACTTTTTTCAAAGCGCTGCTGATCTTTTGAAGAATTGATTGGGGGAATTAATCTTCTATTTATCCAAACTATTCTGTGTTCTTTCTCTGTGTTTTTTTTGTTTGTTTAATTACAAGGAACATTTGCACGAAAATAGGATTTTAAGACCTGAACAGCTTCTGATGCTTTTTCCCAGATACATGGAGTAAACCACATTTATTGTATTTGTAAACTAAAACAATTATTGTTTTGTAAAATTCCTTGCATGCTTTTTTACAATGAATTATTAATGAATATTTGAGAATATGCTTTAGAAAGGTTCCCCCATCTCCCCCTTGAAAATATATACCACTATATAGGTAATGTATATAATTCTCCCCCCTCTTCTTCCCCCCCATCATGTCTCCTTCAAGACCTGCCAAGGAAGTCATATTGGTAGTCATCTCATTTCTGTGGCCAGTTAAACTCAGTTTCTGTAGTTCCTCCATTCTCTAAGATAAGCAGCATCTTATGCTACACCAAATCTTTTAAATCAGACTGAAGTTTGCAAAAGTTCTTTCAGATTTTTAGACTTTTTTTTCATCTTTTCAAAGGATCTTTGTAAAGATTTTTAATAAAGCAAATCAAGTGGATTTATAGCAAAATGTATTCACAGTGAAGTGGAAATCCATAAATAGAAATTTGATAGGGATGTATGCTCTGGCAAAACTTACTAATGATTATCAGATGATAGAGATACTACTTTACTTTGTGCACAAACTGGTCACTTCTGTTATGGCAGAAATAGAAAGGAGAGGGACAGCACCTTGCTCTACAAGTTCTAATAACTGAACTTGAATATTTATATCATGTCTTATCAGTAAAATGTTTAAAACTTTCTTGCGTGATCTTCTAAAATGAATTTATTTTCTAAAAGGTACATTATCTAAACTGGCAATCCAGAGACTAATGTTTCGTATTATTATCATGTTTTAATATTTTTAATGTTTAATATTGTAGTTATATTTAGTGTTCAGTAGTGTTTAGTGTTTAGCTTATGCTTTTTGGATAGAAGATGTATTTTCACTACTTTTCTCTGAGTTGTACTTTCATACAACACATCTTTTTTACATTTTTATGTATTGACTGCTTGCAAAATGTGAAAATTCTCCTACGGAAGAGTAAATGTTATGATTCTGTTTAATTACAGAATAAATAATTTTACAAATTCATGTTTGAAGTGTGGAATACTGAACTTTAAACATAAAAGTAATCAGTTATCTGACTGAAGTTTAATTATGATTTCTATTCATTTAGATTTCTCATATTGGAAAGCTGAAAGATTTTCTTCTGCAACACAGAAAGGATTACATTAATGCTTACAGGTAAGTGCGCATTCTGTTTAAATAGATTTATTTATTTATTTTCAAACGTATAAAGTGAACTGCTTAAAAATCTGTAGGCATAATGACTAAAAAGAAAATGTAGATTGCTTATTATCCTGTAAGCTACTTAAGATGAAGAATAGTGTTGTCGCAAGAAGAAAATGGTCCTAAATAAAATGAGACTCAGAATTTGAAGATTCCTGGCTCTTAGGAGTGAGTTCTGAAACAAAACAACCTGGCAGTCCAAACCCAACACCTTTTAAGGACCTGCAGTGTAGCTTTCTGAAATGGTTCCTGAGACAGCGGAATACTAGATTCAGTGATCCAGGTTTTCCCTTTCACTCTGTGACACTAAACCTACCTGTTGTCACTAAGTGCCCAGTCAGTAGCGTCAGCAGGTCCTGGAGGAAAAAGCGGTGAACTCTTCAGACTTCAGACTCTGGAATGTGAATTCCAGATGAAGGACACCATTGAGAACACAGTGTCAAGGGACAGCAGTGCAGGATTTGCTTTTCTGTGACAAAAACTGTAGGCTTCAGTTCTAGTAGTTGTTATTGTGTGGAGAAAATTTTTATTCTCTTCAGCCATTAGGAAATATTCAGAAGTGCTGTATCTGCTTACTTGCTGATAGCTTTAGTAGTAGGATTTTTAGAAGATTAAGACACAAGTTCACAGGTTGGTGTTAGTAAGAAAAAATAAGAGTATCTTGTGATCTGCAGATTTAACATTCTTAATGAACTACTAAATCAAGTTATCCTAAGATCAAAATGTTACTGCAACTTGTATTTTGGTGAACTGAGTACAAATAATCATATCATGTGACAAATGGAAGACTTGCTTTTAATGAAACTCTTGTTACGTGCAAACTTAGTAGTCATGTTACAGGCTGCACAATATTTCATTCCAGAAATAGAAAATATTTCATAGGTATCTCCACCTAACTAACTTTGCTGTTGTAAATAGAAGTTTAACAGTTCCAGTTGAACTAATCACCAGTTTATTTTATTTCATATTGTAGAAGTGGGTTTGTGACACACTTAAAACTGCTATAAATATTTATTTGAAAAAAGTAGATATTCTCTGCATGTCTTCATAGTGCAGACCCCACAAAGTCTAACTAATCATTCCTTTCCTTTCTTCTCAGTATCTAGGTATGACTAAGATTAAAAAATGAACAGTGCGACGTAACATTCACTGTATGTTGTCTTTTGGGGAAATATATTTGTGTGGGAAAAAATGCTCACCAAAACTGCCTGGCCTTCGTCACACTGTCATTTAAAGCAGGTTGATCTCCCATAAAGAGGTGTTCTCCAGGGTTCTGGGACACCAATTTATTTGAAATTTGTGGTTCAAAAATAAAACTTTTAAAATTCCAACCAGATGTAAAATTGGAAGAAGGTAGTAGTGTGTGTGCAATACAGAATGCATCCCAACTGGGATGCTTTAAAGAACTGGGGTGCACTCTTTATAAAGAAGCCAATAAATTTCTACCAAGTGAAGTTTCCACTTTAAAGAGAATGTCAGCAAGTTGTTCTTGAGATGACGAAAGGTGTGGCAATGCCCCTCTTGGTGGGATGGGGGGGAAATACCACTTAAAACAACTAAATGGCTTTTTTCAGTCATCTGAGAAGCACACAACCCATTTGGTTGGGTTTTTTTTGGGGGGAGGGCGTTACGCCCAAATAAAACAGTGTAGGTAAGCTTTCCCTTTCAAAGGATCTTCTGAAACGCCACAGTTTCCTATGTTGTATTTCTCCAGTCCCTCAACATAACTGCAGTATTGCATGGGGCAAGTCAGCCCTGTCTGCATTCTGATTCTGCCACCACCCTGACTAAAGCTAAGCTGTTGCTGCAGTCGAGGTAGAGAAAATGCAGTCTAAAGTCATCTTGAGTTGAAGACGCTGAGTCCCAAGTCAGTGTAATAATACCTTTGTCCAAAAGGCTTCACAGGTACCAAATAGGAGCGTTATCCCAACAGGTATCCATCCTCCAGGAGAAGACAGTAGGAGCAGATGAGCCATCTGCTATTCCTTAGGCTTGGTCCATATTGGAGGAACAGTCTGAGAAACAACTTCTAGGCCTGAAAGGGTCTGTCACAGTAATAGCAATACTGTACAATCAGTGGTATCAAAATGTGTCCCTAAGTTGCCAGAAGATTTCTGGCATCTTTTTTAGTCTCTCTGAGATTTTAAAAGCAGTATTTTGTTGTTTCATTTTTGAAACAGCAGGAGAAAAAAAAAAAAAAAAAGATTATTTTGGCATGTTTCATAAGTGTAAGGCTGTGAGAGCTATTCGTAGTCGGTGCCAGTGAAAATGAAGCTCGGGGTGTGGGTGTCAGTTCTGTGTGCAAGGTGTGTGAGGAACTGCTTTTCCAAGTAGAAGGCAGAAGTAGTGTGTAGCTACATGTTACGACTAGCTCTCTGCTTTCCAATTTCTGTTGGAATAGGTCATGAACAACACTAGGTGGAGCTACCAATTTAATACTGAAATAGCCATTTTTACTGTGTGAAAACTTCATGTTGAATGCATAAGCTAAGAAAGTGCAAATAATTGCAGTAAGAGCAAACAGTCAGTAGCAGTTAAATTTTGGGTACTATTTGTATTTTATTAACAGTAGTGTGCATAAAATTGAAGTGCTAAGAGGAGTAAAAATTTGTCCAAGCTATTTTAGTTTCTAAAAGTTTTTTAATGTTCTTTTTGTAAACTCTCTTTTAACCAGTTATCATGGTAATTCTCAGTGATTTTCACCTCGCATATTCACCAAGGAGAGGGAAAAAAGAAGTGTCATTTCCTCCAAATCTCATCTGTGATTGCAGTTGATCCTGTCCATAATGGTCAAACTTAAAATAGATAGTACTGTCAACTTCCATACTACATTGCTTATGTTGTTCTACTTTGTGGATGCAAAGAGGATCATAGCATCCATACTGTCAGTCTCAGTCTTAGCAAATGCCTCACTCATGCAAGACAGCAGTTTTAATAACTTTTCAATACTTGAGCTATGGGGAAAAGTTTTAAACAATTTAATACCAAAAAGCTGTGCTGGAATTTACGTAGGAGGTTTAATTTTGTTAATTAAATTTGACTACTCTGTGTTTTGTCAATCCTGCTATTGATTTTTCAACTATAGCATGACGTGTTGGTGAAATTCGGCTTTTGAGTCACCAAGTTGAATTATTGTATGCCTTGTAAAACTTCTCCATAATGTGTTATGTCCAGGTCCTTGATTGCTTCTTTGACCTTACTTTTGCAGACTATAAATTCTTTAGTAATAGAGTTTTTATTTTTGGCATTCATAAAATATCCTGCTACAGAGGGGATGTCTTTAATTCATTTTTAGAGGAAGATTTTTAGCAGTGCGAAAGAGAAATGGAAGAAGGGTTAATTGAAACTAAGGCCCTGACCCATTTTATCAAACTTCAAATATTTAACTGAAGTACCTAAATTGAGTCCAGAAAGCTCAAGAATTAGTAATTGCTTATTCACCTTCTTTCTTCTTGATTTGACTGTTAGCTATAAAACCCCTTTGGCCATAAACTGTTTCCAGCAGAACAAGTTGATCACTCTTCCTGGAAAGGAGAAGGCAGGGACTCTTGGTTCCTGAAGATGTTAACAAGATGTGGATGCTTTTTTATTTTTGCTTATTAAGAAAACTGTGATCACTCCTTTCAGATAAGGGTTGTTACCTGTCTTCTCATTTTTAGTGTATGACTATACATCTATATATTCTTCTCGGTCCATTTGCTATAATGCATTCCTACATTGCTTTCTACACTGTGCTGTGTGAGATCCTGCCTTCGGTCTTTGGTAAATTGTCTAATGTTTCATCTGTGAACAACTTGTGCCTTTGCTTTTTATCATCGGCTCCTTCATGATTTTGATCACTGAACCACCAAGACAGTTTGTACGTTTGTGTTAAATATAGTTCAAGGAACTAGCTTCAAGGAACTAACACTTGGGGAATTTGGTCCTCTTGGGATTCTTTCACAGCCTTCCAGTTTCTCTGAAGGATCTTTCAAGGTTTAAACAGTTTAAAGACCAGTAGTTATTCCTACTGTTTTAATCAGATATTGGACAGGAATTGAGAGAATTCTGGATTTTGACCACAGAACACCTCATACTTAAAAGGAAAATCTTTGGGAGAAGAGCTTTCCATCTGGGCTTATTAGACATCTAATTTATTGTCTTTTGCAACTACAGAGATGCTTTTGTAGTTCATCAGTGTAGCATAGATTGGTTCTGCGTAGAAATGATGCTTTTTCCACAGGAAAGGCTGGATGGGTGGCTTTTGATGTGTCTTCATTACATGCTTCTGTGGTCCCTCTGTACAGTTAAGTGTTGGAAGATTTCATATGTTGTTAATTGCAAATAATATACTTTGAAAAAATTCTTAACAAAGTATCTTTCTGTCTAAAAAATAATGTTGGTGCCCAGTAATTATGCCTCTTGCCCTAGCATTTATCTACCTAGTAAAGCTGGGGGGGTGGCGGGGAAGAAGCAATAAATCTGTTAAATGTTTGCCACCTAATAGAAAATCGTTGAATGCTTACCCTATGTTTTGTGGAGAGTGTTCTCTTGGCTTAACCAATAAAAGAAAAAAAGTAGGCATTAAAGGATAGTGTCTTACTGGCTCCTGTACAATGCCAGACTACTTTCTTGTCTTGACTTAACCACATTTTTACAAGAAGCAAGGTGTTGTTTATTGTACTAAGATAGTAAAACATGTAGATGATCTGTAAGGACTTTCTTCATGGAGGGGTATATAGTATTTTCCCTGTTCTCCAGGGAATTGTTTTCAAATTATTTCTCTAATTTTTTGGTTGTACTAAGTTCATATATCACATTTTAGAAATAGTGATTCTTCATAGCAGCATTCTGGAATTTCTCAGCAATATTTTACAAAACCGAAAATACTAATTTAGGTATGCCTGTACTGCCTGTTCTAGTAGCTGAAGTTTCCCCACAGACTTTAAAAAAAAAAAAAAAAAAGTTTTAAATAT